GCAGTCTTGCCTTCCTCGCTTCTCGCTTCTCATTGTGTATTATTTTTCATAATTCACATCAATCGTTTTATTGTCAACGAGACCGACACTTGAACATTATTAAAATTATTATTCTTATTATTTCGTGGATATGGATTTTAAAATCATCAACTGATTTTCAGTGAACATTATTTTTCGCGTAAATTTCTTCGCGATACGTAACATCGGCTGCCAGCCACTGGTCTGCCGTAGTAGGGGTCGATTCGCAGCGTTTAAATTTCGACCGCACAGCTCTACTTATAACTCTGATATTAACCAGAGATAATAGAGATATGACAGCTCGCAAAATTAAGCGACAATAGTCCTTATGTACTGCGCCCCAAACCGTCACTTTCGGGCGCGCTATTTAAATTTGAGTGAAACTTTCGTAGCGCGGCTATTTGATTACCAGGGATATTTCCAATCGTAAGAATATACCAAAAGTGGTTAATCTTTCTTCCAAAAATACTAGGTTGCTCATAAATGGAAAAAGACAAGATTAAAAAAATTACAATCATTAAGTTTATTCGAAAAATGATTGTATTATATCTAACATTTGTTGGTGCTTTTGTAATGTTTACATCCTGATTAATAGTAAATGGATAAAAAAAAAACATTAAATTACTCAAAATGCTTGTATTAACTTTTCTTATCCTTTAAAACTCTAAAATGTGCATACACAACACAAACTGTACAATTTTATAGCGAGGATAATAATAAAAGTACCCTCTAGCTCATTCAAAGATTGTTATTATAACCTAACGTTGAAATTCAAGGACGACACTTTAAGGGGTACAAATACAGTTATAATATTGAATGTTACCTTTTCAATTCGAAGATGACTTTAGTCACTTTTAGTTCTGTGCGGGTGTTAATAAAATTATTTTTATCCTCATATTATTAATAGTTATTTACATCACACTTTATTAGAATATAACCAAATACAAGCTATTGTTCTGTATAAAATATATGCAGCACAACCCAACTGGTAATTGTGCTTTTGATTTAGCAACATTTTGTGGGGGCTAACAAATCCCACAAAATTGTGCAACATGTAATATTTGTATAGTCTGTATTTATTGACTTCCAACCACTATCATCCTGAAACTTTCTCTTCGTACACCTGCATGTCGTAAAACCTATCTTTTGTTCGCCCTTCCCAATAATTCTTATCCTTCGAAGATTTCGAGTACCTTCTAAGAACCCTTTCGACACAACCGTTTCACCGCTCTCTACCGACCTGTCTTTTCATTTTCAAAATCACAGACAACACTCTTCACTTTTCCCTTATCTACTGAACCGACAACATTAAAAGTAAATACACCACAAACGCAAGTCCTCTTTTAATCATCTGATCACACCACAATTCTTATCTGCTAATGAAGATATCTCCAATTTAAGTGAGAGGTACAACATCCCCACCATAATTAATAATTCCCAACCATCTCATAATGCCCTAAAAATAGATAGGATAGAGTACAAAGAGTTTGATTTAGCTGAACAAAATATCTTACGATAAATATGTGGATACTCAGTGGATGCATGCTTAAAACACTCTTCTCAGATATGCTGTGAATATACAAATGCATGTGGCAGAAATTCTAGAACTACATTATTGTCGTTTCCAAGCCCACAATTCTGAAACTTTATCTTATGGCAATCTTAATGTTTCGTATGAACAGTTTGCATATTACATTGAACAATTAGAAAATGCCTTCAGTAGATAATACACTTTCGCTTCAAGTTCCCAGACAACTTAAAAACCAGCTGGCCTTAATAGCATCCATGTAGTAATCTCCCCCTTGATTACCTTTTGTCATTATTTGTGCGATTACGTATATTTTATACATTGAAATTCCATAATAGGGAACTACAGAAGCAACCTAAAAAACAGAGTAAATTAATCATTTTGTCCCATTTATAGAGCATTTGCCAGTTTCATCGATTAATAATTAATTATAGCTGCAGAAAATCATCGGTTTACTTATCGATGTTATTTTTATAGAACTATTCCTGTACTTACCAATAGTATATTGTTTGTTAAAATGTATGTAACTGTAATAAATACATACATACATATGCAGTTAACATGACTTTTCTTTTATAATTTGAAACCATCGCATCATATTTAATTGAGGTTATCTCAGAGTTCGTGTTTTTCGTTCGTTATGTCACTTTTACTAGTAATATATTTAGTAACATTTAACATAGATATTAAGATATCAGGTTTACCACCACAAATGTTGTGCCCCCAACCGTCCTTTACGTCAAATTCTGTGTTCACTTCGCTCCCATGCATTTCTTATGGAGCATTCAAAAGCTGTCATATCTCTGTTATCTCTGTATTAACGACACTGAACAAGTGTTAAAGTTTCAAATAGAGCAATAAACAACATTTAAATTCGCCATACAAGCTTGTGAAATTTTAAACAACAAATAGTTTACATAAAAAAACTAGCAAAGATTTATGAAAACGAAAAAGATCTGGTATGAAATAAAACTTGTGTAGACAAAAAATTACGTGAGGTTCGAAATTGTAGAGCATGAAAATTTACGTTCAATTTAAATTATACAACAATGAAAATTACTGAAGTTAAAATTGTGAGAGAGAAATATTGTATGAGGTGAAAAATTGTAAAGCTAACAAATTCACATGAGATTCATGTCACACTTCATCAACGATTCAAACAAAGAGTTTACATTATGTTCAATTATGCCACACTTTATCAACGATGCGAACAAAGAATTTATATGGTGTTACGTTATGCCATGATCCAAGTGATTAGTTACTTAAAACAATTTGTTTTGAGGGTTTCTATCATGGATTGTTTATCCCAAACAAAACCCATGATAAGTGCATTAGGAGAGAAATCTTTACTCCCCCTGTCAGTTCACGATATTATGAATTTTGTTAATTTAACTGCCGTAAATGACCTATTACCAATCTTGTGTGAAGAATTAAGAAGTGTTGTAAATATTAGCATCCAGAAACGTTATTCGTAACTTTTTGTTAAACGACTAAGTAAATTTCATGAAGTAAGTAAGTTCCTAGAAAGTGATTTATCTAAATAAATCTAATGTCTGTTAAATTCTGTTAGCACCAGTTAACGATTAAAATGCTAACCTGATCTGTGAATTTACAAACAATGAATCAAATTTACACGTGTTAGCGTCGATCAAAAATTCACTTTTTTCCGGTTAGAAAGCCGCAAGAATTAGCTTTCTCCCTTCTATTAACTACCAAGCCAACTCACCACGTTGTTATACTCAGAACAAACATCAAGCAGCAATTTTGTCCCTACCAACCCTCTAACTAAAATCCCCAGCAGGACTACCCACTACCCAAAAAGCGCTAACGTGCACATGGTTGCCGATGTTTAACGATTTTTTTTTCATATTCAGATTACTCAAATGTCATGCTATTAATTTTTTTCAGCACGAAATTTTAATTCAAATTCGGTCACCACAAAAGTTTTTTTAATTTCATAAAATAAAACACTCTTGTGCTTGTGGTGTGTGAATCTGTGTCGAATTTTCACCCTAGACATCCAAAATTTTTAGAAAAAATTTAAAACTGAATAAGAATATTTTAGCAATATAACTTTGACACTGCAAAGCCGAGTGCTCGGAAATCTTGTAAATATTTTAAGGTTATCGTAATCATGGTAAATCGTTAAGCAAAATTTATTATTTACCCCCTCCCAAAAAACTGATGACGTCATTTCAAAATGTTGCCAAAACAAGTTTTAGCCCCGCGCACTCGCTCTCTATTTTCTCAGAGGATATGGCGTCTGCCAAAATCAGTCTTATCTTAGCAAGTACTAGCCCCACCCACCCGCCCGCTATTTTCTCAGAGGATATGGCGTCTGCCAAAATCAGTCTTAACTAAGCAAGTACTAGCCCCGCCCACCCGCCCCTATTTTCTCAGAGGATTTGTCATTTGCCAAAATAAGAGTTATCTTAGCAAGTCTTACCCTCTGAGGAGGGTGGGCGGGGCTCGTATTTGCTAAAGAAGTCTTGTTTTGGCAAATGACATATCCTTTGAGAAAATAGGAGGCGGGTGGGTGGGGCTACTACTTGCTAAGATAATACTGATTTTGACAGACGCCATATCCTCTGAGAAAATAGCGGGCGGGTGGGTGGGGCTAGTACTTGATAAGATAAGACTTATTTCGGCAAATGACATATCCTCTGAAAAATATGGGGCGGGTGGGCGGCCCTAGTATTTGTTAAGATAAAACTGATTTTGCCCCTATTAATCTTGTAAAAACTTGTGAAATTTAAAGGTGTTAAATTGCAAATTTCCACAGTAACGAGTTAAATTCCTAAATCTCCCTGAAATGGACAAAACATGATGAGTTTTTACTTGTGATTTATCATTGCATTCATATTTTTTAGATTGGCTTATACAGGTGTATTTTAAGATATCTAGTATAGCCCCTAGAAATACATAGTACCGTCATCCATTGTTGTACGAGTGGAGCAAATGCAAAATTCCCCTGGTTTTGAACCAAATTGTGTCAGCAGAGAGTTGACAGCGCGTAAACTGTTGTTGTCACGTGGTCTTGGCGTGATCTTTTTGTTTAAAGTCAATTAATATAACTAATAATTATTAAATAAAATTTTGTTGATTGAAGTTTATATTTTATTCAAATTAAAAATCCATATTTTGTATATAAACTACAAACTTTAAATCCAATATAAAACCATTTTAAATTTCGCGGTCTGTCAAATGGTGTTTATAATTTTTGTTTTTGTTAAGTTTCCGCCAGGTTTGCTCCAGGGTGACGGTACTATGTGTTTTCTAGGGGCAATAATATCTAGTAATGACACTTTGGACATACTAGAATCTACAATAAATACTTCATAAAATTACACTACACTTTACCACTTTGCACTCCACACGTCTTATACAATAATAAAAGGGCAAACAAATAGGATAAAAATGAAAATCGCAAAATCTAGATAGTTATCGCCAAAACTGTTGAAGTAAAGTTAGGTTAGGTAGCTGTCAGTTTATTTTTTTGTTTTCAGCTTTCTTTTGACGTTTCTGGCAGGGCTATGAAAGTCTCAGCTGACTCCATAAGAAATACATGGGGAGCTTACGGAACGACATAAAGAGGTCACTGGCGTCACTAAAGGTGCTCCGACCTTGAAGAACATAGTTTCTTTTTCATTTTAAGGTTTTCGGTGAACGTTTTGTCTGGTTTTGTCAACAAGAAATGTCATATTATTTACGGAATCATACGGGATGTTGGGTTATGGGGTTAAAAACAAACGTAAAATTTATTGTAACAAAGTAATAGATACTTACGACACAGTCTTACGATACATGTAAAAAATACTAGAAAATTCCAGGCTAAAGAGGTCAACAAACTGCAGGTTAAACGAAATAGTTTAATTTTCGATGTGTGCGGGTTTGAGCGGTCCAAGATTTATTTTTAAATTTTAGTGTGTAAAAAATTCTAACTCTAATAAAAACTGAGACGAGGTAATCAAGAGGAAAGTCTTTGCAGGGGTGGTGGAATGGTATTTTTGTATGGTTCGTTTTTTAGCCGCAAACCAGTTAACGAATACAGTGCATAAATTGGGAAAAACTCACAAAATGTATTACCCACTACCGGAGTATAAACTGCAAAATGTTCAGGTGGCATCATTAAATCGCCAAAAATCACATCTTCATTGAAAACTTTAAAATGTCACAGAATTAAAACAGGATGTACCACTTCGTAAGAATGTGCAAAGTTCTCACAAACTTCGCAGAAGTGGTGGTGTAAGAATTTTCGTATTAATGAATATCCACAAACATACCATAAACAGTTGTGTTCTTTCAAGGTGAGTTTCCGGTAACTCACATCACTTAATGATTCTTGAAGAGACCGGAATACAGGGAAGATGTGTTGTGGAAGTTTATTTAAAAGAACACCTTAGCAAATTTTTCATTTCAAATAAAATAGTGTTTCACAGTTGGTTCTTGCACTTGTATCGAAATAATCTGTAGTAAATAGTTTCCGAAACGTTCTTTGGAATTCTATTGGTGTGGGATTTATACAATTCCCAAATTGACGCCTCACAGAGCCAAACAAATATGTCAAACAATACTGATTTAGTTGCAGCAACCTTTTAGTGAAAATTGTAAACAAATTGTATTCTGTGAAAACTATTAAAAATAATAAGCAAAATGTTTATGTTCCTGAAGTTGTTTTTTATTTTTTTGTGAGTGATTTAAAAATATTAAGAGTGAATTAAAAATTTTGCAATTCACTTGTGGATAACAACTTGTTTGTCAGACTTGTTAAGGTTTTAATAAACGCAGTTTAAAACGTCAAAATTGAATAAAAATGTTTTGCTTGAATATGTTAATAATTTATAGGAAAGAAAAAAATGACCAATGTCAGTAGTACATGCCAACCATTTTTATTTTTGTGTACAATTATTAGTATTATATGAATCACATACGAATGCTACGAAATATTTGAATCTTCGTGTTTCCCGGGAACGGGCTCCCAAGGTCACACCCGTTCCGCAAATATTGCTGAAGTTTCGTTACTGATCTACTGTGTTTCTGGTGTGCCATCTAGTGACAATGAAATTCGCGAATGAAACGTCTATGTATATTAGGTTTGTGGCTTGTTTTCGTTTGACAGTTTGGTAAAATTTTGAGGTTATGGCGCAAGAAATTAGAATTGAGGTCAAGGTTGTGTCTTACTTTTTACTGAAAAACAAACTTATTTTTTGGATATAAAACTGTCTTAAGTGGCTGCAGACCTAGAAACCTTGTAATTTTCGTATTTTTACCGAAGCATCAGGTAAGAAATTACATTATCACGCCATGGTACAACGATAACAAATTCAGGTGAAATGTCGATTTTGGAAAAGTTTGTCAACGTGGAATCTTCCCCAGACCATGAACTGGACCAATCAGTTTTTCTCACCCAAAATTCCTCTCCAGCGACCCTTTTCAACTGTGAAAACAGCAACATCGAATATTACCACTGCAAAGACTGCAACTTCCAGACGGAACTAACAATCCACTTGACTAACCACATCAAAGAATGCCACCACAGCCCCAAGATCCGCGCCCCCCTGAAACACCCCATTCGAAAACACACTTGCAGAAAGTGCTCCTTCGAAACCCACTTCTCAATCATGTGGCTTCAGCACGTCATCACGTGTTCGCGAAAACGCCGCCTCCAAATAATCAAGCGTGACAAGACCGCCAAAACGAGCTTTTGGTATAAATGTGACCAATGCGGCCTCAAAACCAAATACAAAAAAGTCATAAAAGCCCACAAGATCTCGAAGCACCTCAAGGACGAAGAAATCGTCTGGTACGAGTGCGAGAAGTGCCCCTACAAAGCCAAACTGCGCGCCAACTTGAACAAACACATGAAAAACCGCCACTTGGACCAGCACGACATTAAATGGTACATTTGCCAGGAGTGCCCCTTCCGAACTAAACAGTCCGCGCACTTGAAAAGCCACATGAACTCCCGCCACTTGAACGAACAAGACGTTAAATGGTACCAGTGCCCCCACTGCCCCTACAAAACCAAAGTCAACTCGAACTTGAAAATCCACATCAATTCGCAGCACCTGGACGCCGATAAAGTGAAGTGGTACGAGTGCAAGCTGTGTCCGTTTAAAGCCAAGACGAACTCGGCGCTTTCGCAGCACGTGCGGACGCACTACAACGTGGATATTAAGTGGCGCGAGTGTGACAAATGCCCATACAAAGCGAAACGAAGCGCCGATTTGAAGAACCACGTGAACGCCCATCATTTGGACATGCGGGATATCCGGTGGTACGAGTGCAAGAAGTGCTCGTTTAAAACTAAGCAGAATTGCAATTTAATTCGGCACGTGAATGGGCAGCATTTGGGGGAAGGGGAGATTAAGTGGTACGAGTGCCAGAGCTGTTCTTACAAAGCCAAGCAGAATTCGCACTTGAAGAGTCACGTGATTGCGCACCATTTGGATGAGGGGGGTGCGGGGGTGGATTTGAGGCAGGGGTTTAAGTGGTTCGAGTGCCAGGTTTGCTCGTTTAAGAGTAAGCAGAGTTCGAATTTGAAGCGGCATGTAAATATGCAGCATTTGGGGGAAGAGAATATTAAGTGGTTTGAGTGTGATAAGTGCGCGTATAAGGCTAAGCAGAGTTCGCATTTAAAGAAACATATAAAGGTGCATCATTTGGATGAGTGAAGAGAGAAGTTTGTTTAATGTGATTACTGATTATTACTACAAAGCATAAATGCATTTTTGTTGTTATTTGCAGTGTGTTTGTTTAACTTTGTTGATATAAAAATACATATTTTTCATGAACGTTTTTTGATTTTTCAATGATTCCATTTTTTGATTTTTCGTTTTCTTTCGATTTTGTAATTTTTAGATTTTTTCAGTTTCTATTTTACAATTTTCCGATTTTTCAATTCTTAGATTTATAGATTTGTCGATTCTTCAGTTTCCTGATTTTTTAATTTTTCGAAATTTTGAACCTTCCATTTTTCCGTTTATCGGATTTTTCAATTTTCCAGTTACCCGGTTTTTCTGTTCCTGTTTTAGAATTTTTGATTTTTCGATTTGTCGATTTTACAACTTTATAGTTTTTAAATTTTTCGTTTTTTCCTTTATCCAACTTTCCGATTTTTTTCAGTTTCTGTTATACAATTTTCCCATTTTTCAATTCTTAGATTTATCGATTTGTCGACGACGTTTCATTTTCCTGAATTTCAATTTTTCCAACTTCCGAATATTTTATTTTTCAAGTCTTGGTTTTTTCATTTATCCGATTTTTCAATTTTCAGTTGTCTGTTTTTTTTCTGTTTCTATTTAAAAATTTTAATTTTGGATTTGTCGATTTTTCAGTTTTTCCATTTCTTGCTTTTTCAATTTTACGATTTTACAACTTTATATGTGGTTTTTAAATTTTTCGTTTTTTCCATTATCCAACTTTTCGATTTTTCAGTTCCAAGATTTATCCAACTTTTCGATTTTTTAATTTTCCGATTTTTTCACTCTCTGTTTTACAATTTTCCGATTTTTCTTTCAATTTTTAGATTTATCGGTTTGTCAATGTCAGTTTTTTCACTTTTCAATTTTTCCAAATTTCGAATGTTCGATTTTTCAAGTTTTAGTTTTTTCGTTTATCAGATTTTCAATTTTTCAGTTGTCCGTTTTTTTCTGTTCCTGTTTTAGAATTTTTCGATTCCCTAATTTTTCTGTTTTTCAATATCCAGATTTACCAATTTTTGATTTTTCAATGATTCCTTTTTGATTCTTCAATTTTACGATTTTGCAATTTTACATTTTTATAGTTTTTAAATTTTGAAATTTTTCGTTTTTTCCATTATCCAACTTTTCGATTTTTTAATTTCCCGATTCATTCAATTCCTGTTTTACAATTTTATTATTTTTCAGTTCCTAAATTTTTGAATTTTTCAGTTACCTGTTTTTTTGTTTCTGTTTTAGAATTCTCTATTTTTCGATTTGTTGATTTTTCAATTTTCCAATCTTTCTATTTTCCAATATTTAGATTTATCGATTTTTGATTTTTTAACTTTTCCGATTTTTCAGTTTTTCGATTTCTTGATTTTACGACTGTGCAATTTTATGGTCTTTTAATTTTTAAATGTTTCGTTTTTGCCATTATCCAACTTTTCGATTTTTTAATTTTCCCATTTTTACAGTTTCTGTTTTTTGATTTTTCAATTCTAAAATTTACCGATTTGTCAATGTTTCAGTTTCCTGATTTTTCAGTTTTTCCAAATTTCGAATGTTCGAGTTTTCAAGTTTTCCTTTTTTCGTTTAATTTTTTTTATTATATTTTTTGATTTTTCAATTTTGCAATTTTACATTTTTAGAGGTTTAAAATTTAAAAATTTTTCGTTTTTTCCATTATCCAACTTTTTGATTTTTTAATTTTCCCATTTTTACATTTTCTATTTTACGATTTTTCAATTCTTAGATTTATCGATTTGTCAATGCTTCAGTTTCCCGATTCTTCAGTTTTTCCAAATTTTGAATGTTCGATTTTTCAAGTTTTCGTTTTTCCATTTATCCAATTTTTCAGTTACCCGATTTTTTCTGTTTCTGTTTTAGAATTTCTGATTGTTCGATTAGTAGATTTTTTAATTTCCAAATTTTTCTGTTTTTGAATATCTATACATATCGATTTTTAATTTTTCATCTTTTCGGTTTTTTAATTAATCCATTTTTTGATTGTACAATTTTACTTTTTCTAGTTTTGAAATTTTGAAATTTTTCGTTTTTTCCATTATTCAACTTTAGGACTGTTTAATTTTCCGATTTTTTCAGTTTCTGTTTTACAATTTTCCGATTTTTCAATTCCTAGATTTATCGATTTGTCAGTGTTTCAGTTTCTTGATTTTTGAGTTTTTCCAAATTCCGAATTTTTCAAGTTTCCCTTTTTCTGTTTATCCCATTTTTCTACGTTTCAGTTACCCATTTTTTTTCTATTTCTGTTTTTAAATGTTCGATTTTTCAATTTTCTGATTTTTCTGTTTTTCAATACCTAAATTTATTGATTTTTGATTTTTCAACTTTTCGATTTTTCAATGATTCCATTTTTTGATTTTTCAATTTCACGATTTTACAATTTTGCAATTTTATAGCTTTTAAATTTTTCGTTTTTTCCATTGTTCAACTTTAGGACTGTTTAATTTTCCGATTTTTTCAGTTTCTGTTTTACAATTTTACGATTTTTCAATTCCTAGATTTATCGATTTGTCAGTGTTTCAGTTTCTTGATTTTTGAATTTTTCCAAATTCCGAATTTTTCAAGTTTCCCTTTTTGTGTTTATCCCATTTTTCTACATTTCAGTTACCCATTTTTTTCTATTTCTGTTTTTAAATGTTCGATTTTTCAATTTTCTGATTTTTCTGTTTTTCAATACCTAAATTTATTGATTTTTGATTTTTCAACTTTTCGATTTTTCAATGATTCCATTTTTTGATTTTTCAATTTCACGATTTTACAATTTTGCAATTTTATAGCTTTTAAATTTTTCGTTTTTTCCATTATCCAACTTTTCAATTTTTTTATTTTTCTAATTTTTCTGTTTTTCAATTTCTAGATTTATCAGTTTTTGATTTTTCAACTTTTCGATTTTTCAATGATCCATTTTTGATTTTTAAGTTTTACGATTTCGCAGTTTTACACTTTTATTGTTTTTAAATTTTGAAATTTTTTGTTTTTTCCATTATCCAACTATTCGATTTTTTAATTTCCCAATTCTTTCAATTCCTGTTTTACAATTCTTTATTTTTCGATTTTTTGATTTTTCAATTTTCAAATTTTCAATTTTTCAATATTTAGATTTATCGATTTTGGATTTTTCACTTTTTCGATTTCTTAATTTTATGACTTTACAATTTTATGGTTTTTTAATTTTTAAATGTTTCGTTTTTGTCATTATCCAACTTTTCGATTTTTTAATTTTCCCATTTTAGTTTCTATTTGTCAATGTTTCAGTTTCCTGATTTTTCAGTTTTTCCAAATTTCGAATGTTCGAGTTTTCAAGTTTTCCTTTTTTCGTTTATCTGATTTTTTAATTTTTCAGTAACCCGGTTTTTTCTGTTTCTGTTTTAGAATTTTTAATTTTTTAATTTGTGGATTTTACAATTTCCAAATTTTTCTGTTTTTCAGTAATATCTAGATTTATCAGTTTTTGATTTCTCAACTTTTCGATTTTTCAATGATTCCATTTTTTGGTTTTCAATTTTACGATTCTTATTTTTTTCCATTATCCAAGTTTTCGATTTTTTAATTTTCTGATTTTTCAGTTTCTTTTTTACAATTTTCCGATTTTTTAATTCCTATATTTATCGATTGGTTAATGTTTCAGTTTCCTGATTTTCCGAATCTTCGAGTTTTCAAGTTTTCTTTTTTTCGTTTATCCGATTTTTCAATTTTTCAGCTACCGGATTTTTTGTTTTTGTTTCAGAATTTTTGATTTTTGGATTTGTCGATTTTTCAGATTTTCGATTTCTTGCTTTTTCAATTCTACGATTTTACAACTTTATATGTAGTTTTTAAATTTTTATATTTTTCGTTTTTCCAACTTTTCAATTTTTTAATTTTCCGATTTTTCAATTTCTATTTTACAATTTTCCGATTTTTCAGTTTCAAGATTTATCCAACTTTTCGATTTTTTAATTTTCCGATTTTTTCAGTCTCTGTTTTACAATTTTCCGATTTTTCTTTCAATTTTTAGATTTATCGGTTTGTCAATGTGTCAGTTTTTTCACTTTTCAATTTTTCCAAATTTCGAATGTTCGATTTTTCAAGTTTTCGTTTTTTCGTTTATCAGATTTTCAATTTTTCAGTTGTCCGTTTTTTTCTGTTACTATTTTAGAATTTTTCGATTCCCTAATTTTTCTGTTTTTCAATATCCAGATTTACCAATTTTTGATTTTTCAACTTTTCGATTTTTCAATGATTCCTTTTTGATTTTTCAATTTTACGATTTTGCAATTTTACATTTTTATAGTTTTTAAATTTTGAAATTTTTCGTTTTTTCCATTATCCAACTTTTCGATTTTTTAATTTCCCGATTCTTTCAATTCCTGTTTTACAATTTTATTATTTTTCAATTCCTAAATTTTTGAATTTTTCAGTGACCCGTTTTTTTGTTTCTGTTTTAGAATTCTTTATTTTTCGATTTGTCGATTTTTCAATTTTCCAATTTTCTATTTTTCAGTATTTAGATTTATCGATTTTCGATTTTCCAACTTTTCCGATTTTTCAGTTTTTCGATTTCTTGATTTTACGATGCTGGTTTTTTAATTTTTAAATGTTTCGTTTTTGCCATTATTCAACTTTTCGATTGTTTAATTTTCCCATTTTTACATTTTCTATTTTTCGATTTTTCAATTCTTAAATTTACCGATTTCTCAATGCTGCAGTTTCCCGATATTTCAATTTTTCCAAATTTTGAATGTTCGATTTTTCAAGTTTTCGTTTTTCCATGTATCCAATTTTTCAGTTACCCGATTTTTTCTGTTTCTGTTTTAGAATTTCTGATTGTTCGATTAGTAGATTTTTTAATTTCCAAATTTTTCTGTTTTTGAATATCTATACTTATCGATTTTTAATTTTTCATCTTGTTGGTTTTTTGATTGTACAATTTTACTTTTTCTAGTTTTTAAATTTTGAAATTTTTCGTTTTTTCCATTGTTCAACTTTAGGACTGTTTAATTTTCCGATTTTTTCAGTTTCTGTTTTACAATTTTCCGATTTTTCAATTCCTAGATTTATCGATTTGTCAGTGTTTCAGTTTCTTGATTTTTGAGTTTTTCCAAATT